TGAGAGCAGAGGCTCTGGTGCCCTGGCAGCCTTGTGAGTGCCAGATGAAGATGTTCTGTGTCTCCCTCCCGTCTGCAGGAACAAAGTAAGGTGGCAGGTACCCAGAGCGTTGGCTCGCTCGCTCGCTCGCTCACTCGGCTGTCAGCAGCCCTCAGCCACTGCGGCCTCAGAAATAAATGGGCCCGTCAGCCACTGAGGAGGTGAACTCGGGCTTTGAGATGGAAATGAAATAAGAGGGAACCGAGCCCAGAAACAATGCAGAGGAACGGAGGGAACCAAAATCTTCCACTGCAGCAAAGCAGAATGATCGGGGTGCACGCGGGAGCTGACCTCGGATGCAGGAACCTGGAGCAGAGTCGGTGCCTGGGCCCAGAGGGGTTGCACCTCTGTCACCTCATCCCCCCTGTGGGAAGGACCTGCTGTCTTCTTGTGCTCCCCACTCCCAGCTGGCAGTCCCCTGCCTCATATGCCTGCTCCTTACCGACTGCTCACCGACTTCAAGAGGAAGGAGAACCTCGAGCCTCTCCTCCACAGAGAAAGAAGAGAGATGGTGGTTCTGGAATAGAGCAAGGGAGAGAGCAGCTCTCCTCGAGTTCAGGGTGGGGGGAGAGGAACATGTACACCCAGGTCCTCCTGCCCGCAGGGCAACCACAGCTGTTTGTCTAGCTTTGCCATCCCGACAATAACCCGCCCCCTACCCTGAAAAACTTCCTTGTGGGGTCAGAGATTTAAAAATCTTAGAAGAGGTTCGGGGAGATGGCTTGATGGGTAGTCACTTGCTACCAAGCCTGATGACCCGAGTTCAATCCTCAGGACCCACACGGCGCAAGGAAAGAACTGAGTCTTGAAGTTGTCCTGTGACCTCACAGGCACGCTGCGGCAAACACATACCCAAGCACACCCACCAGAACACAAAAATAAGTAAATCTAAAAACTGTGTTCGTCTGAGAACAAAGCGTAGTATCGGTACCCGTCAGCTCTCTCTCTCTCTCTCTCTTCTTTTGTTTTTTGTTTTTGATTTGATTGTTTGCTTGTTTGCAAGATTTCTTTATTTTTTAATTTTGTTTTATGTGTATAGGTGTTTTGCCAACATGTGTTGTGCACAGCGTGTGTGCAGTGGCCATGGAGGCCAGAAGAAGGAATCAGATCTCTTGGAACTGCAGTTACAGATGGTTGTGAGCTGCCATATGGATGCTGGGAATCGAATCCAGGTCCTCTGTAAGAGCAGCCAGTGCTCTTAACCTCTGAGCCATCCCTCTATCCCTGTTGGGTTTTGAAACAAGGTTCCATATGTAGCACAGGTTGACTTGGAACTCCTAGGCTCAAGTGATCCTCCTGCCTCAGACCCTCAAGTAGATGGGACTCAGGCTTAGGTCTTTCCTCTGTAAAGTAGCACTCTATATTCCAGTTATGCTGGGTGGCAGTGACACACATCTTTAATCCCAGCACTGGAGCACATGGGAGGCAGAGGCAGGTGGATCTCTGTAAGTCTGAGGTCTACAGAGGGAGTTCCAGGACAGCTGGGGGAAAAAATACTAAAAACAAAAAACACGCAAACAAAACAAAAAATAAAAAAAACACAAATATTCCAGTTACTTTAAGGTTATCTCTGCATGGAAAGGCAGACCACATAGAGTCAACTGAGATGAAACACCCACCTGAGTTCGCTGAGACTGTTTGTTCGGAGCAGGTTCAAAGCAAGCACCCTAATGTCCGACCTTCCCCTCCGCCATCCTAAGAGTTCTCCAGGCACTCCTTCCCTCCCCCACCCCCACAGGACATCACTTGTTCAACAATGTAGATTGCTCTCCTGATCTTAAATGCCACCAGTGTCTAATCATTAGCAGTGACTTTTCCGAGGCAGTCCCCTCCCGAGCCTATATGCCAAAAGTCTAGTCTGGTTAAGTCTCTCTCCCTGCATGTGTTACTGAGGACCAGGCAGGCATCTTCTCGGTGAAAGAACCACAACCTCCCAGCTGAGCTAACACTCTGGGCAGACCATACCAAAGCATCCTGAAACACCTGCTGGCGATGATGAACTCGGGCCGGGCAAGTGGAGCCGTTGAGTGCTGGAGCTGGGGAGGAAAGCTGAGGAGGACATGGGCTTCCAGAATAGGGTTGTCAGACAGAAATCATAACCCCAGGAGGGGACTGAGGGAAGCGAGATCTCCCAGCCGGGTCCTGAGAGAGGGCTCCCAAATGCTAAGCAGCAAGCACTCTTTGGAGGAGGATTCTGTTAGGAGGACCACGTGGCTGATGGAATCTGGATCAGCACTGGAAAGGCTCAGCTGTCACAGGGCTCTAGAACATCACATCTCACCTCCAAGCCACCCACTGCACAGACCACACTCAGCGCAGGATCCCATGGGGCCATCTGGGCTCCCACAGTCACGAGACAGTGTCCTTGGGGCTACAGATGTGGTCAAGATGGGGCTCAGTTCTTGCCATGATAGAGATCCCTAAGGGATGTCTGTCAGATGATCCCATGAGAGAAACTAAGGGATGAAGAGCAGGACCATCCCATACCTCCCAAACAGAATGCTGCCAAGAGAGGGAAATGAAAAAAAAAATACAAGTGACATCCCAACATGGCTGGGGTCAGCTATAGATGGAAGTTTCTGTCCTGCTTGATTCCTCAGCCATTCAGTCCCAAAGAACCACACAGACACTTATATAAATTATAAACTGTTTGATCTGTTAGCTCAGGCTTATTATTAACTAGCTCTTACAAGTTGAAGTAACCTACTAGAGACCAGCTTTGATAAAGATATCACTTACCAGCATAGGGGAGCGGGGATTAGAAAAGTTAGTAAAGAGTATGAAGACGTGAGTGAAAACAATGAAACAGAAAGCACAGGAGAGAGTTCCAGTGAATATTGAATGCCCGTGTTTAATTTCTATTTGCTTAAAATACCCCTGACCCCAGAAGGCAGGAGTAAGATTTTTAAAAATGCATTAACATTATACAAGGAAATACCAGTTGAAGGTTGAGGGCTACATTTTTAGTTAAACATTCTATTGCTAGAACAAGACAAGTAATGCTCACACCCTAAACTAAAATAATCTGTAGGCAAACCACTCCCTGGGTGGAATCCAATGTCATCTCCTTAAGAGAACTGGACCCTCAGTTGGATTCTTTGACTTTTGTTTGAGGTAGAAACATATCTACTTCTCTATTCCTGAAATACAAGGGCTGGATACTAGCCACACTGTTGACAAAACCTTGAGAGAGCAGAGCTCTCTGCTCTAAATCTAGGTGGGACCTTTGTTTGAGGTAGAAACAGGCAATAACCTTGAAGGACTAGAAGTAAATTCCAACTCTCTGGCCTTTGCTCAGGGTGGATGTCAACAACTGTGAGCAACTGAAACTCCCTGACCTTCAGACAAGGTGTAAATAGGCTCACATTTTTGGGCCTCCACATTAACCCATAATTATTATCTATATTTAGCCATATATAGCTTGGTATCTTTTCTCAGTAAGGCACCCTCATCTTGCTTCCTCTGCTTCTGGATGGTGACTGTATCTCTGCCTTTCTTCTTCCCAGAATTCTCCTAGTCTAGTTGCCCCGCCTATGGTCAGCAGTGCCCAGAGAAAGACTTAGTGTATCTGTCAGAGTTCTAGTGGGTCTCTTGGGTCATTCTAGAACCAGAGTCCATGGTTAACAGTGCCATTGGGAGCTATGTGTGAGAGCACAGGCTAGATCTAAACTTGTTCTCCTGCATCCAGCCCAGCCTTGCTTGCTTGTTTGCTTGTCTCGGTTGTGGGGAGAAGGTGTCTCTATGTAGTCCTGGCTAGCCTGGAACTCCCTATGTAGACCAGGATGACCTCCAGCTCACAGAGAGCCTCCTGCCCCAGAATACCCAGTGCAGGGATTAAAGGTCTGACTATCACACCTGGATACAGATAGAGTTCCTTCCAAGGAACCCATGCAGGGACTAGGGAGATGGCTCGGGGGCTCTTGTTTCCCAGCACCCACAAACAAGGGGCTCACAATTGCCTTTAATTCCAGCTCCAGGGGATATTATGCCCTCTTCTGGCACACACATGAACATACATACAGACACTATTTTAATGAAAATAATTTTTTAAAGATTTATTTTTATGGGCTGGAGAGATGGCTCAGCGATTAAGAGCACTGGCTGCTCTTCCAGAGGTCCTGAGTTCAATTCCCAGCAACCACATGGTGGCTCACAACCATCTGAAATGAGATCTGGCGCCCTCCTCTGGCGTGCAGGCATACATGGAGGCAAAATGTTGTACACACAATAAATAAATACATCTTTAAAAAAAAAAGATTTATTTTTATGTGTATTGGTGTTTTGCCTGTGCGCCATGTGCTTGCCACAGCTGCCGAGGCATGAATAAGGTGTCAGATTTCCTGAAACTGGAGTTATAACTGGTTGTAAGTCACCATGTGGTGACTTACTGGGAACTGAACCCAGGTCCTCTGCCAGAGTAGCCAATGCTCTTGACCAATAAGCCATATGTGTGTGTGTGTGTGTATGTGTGTGTGTATACATGTATATACATATGTATGTGTGTGTGTGTGCATGCGTGGGTGCATGTGTGTGTGTATGTGTGTGTGTGTGTGTGTGTGTGTATGACAGGGGGCCTAGGCATGGTGATACCCACCTTAAGCCCAGCACTTCAGAGGCTGAAGCAGACAGATCTTTGTGAGTTCCAGGGCAGGCTGGTCTACGTAGGAAGCTCCAGGCAAGCCAAGGGGAAAAAAAAAAAAATGAAGACTCCAAGCTACAGCTGGGATGAAGCAATGAGAAAAAGTAACCTTGTAGTCTCTTTGAAAGAACTCATTAAGGAGAATCAATAACATCTCGATACAATTTTTCCATCTGTTTGTTTTTCCAAGACAGGGTTTCTCTACATAGCTCTGACTATCCTGGAACTCACTCTGTAGACCAGGCTGACCTCGAACTCAGAGATCTGCCTGCCTCTGGCTCCTGAGTGCTGAGATTAAAGGTGTGTGCCACCACTATCCAGCCCGATACAATATTTTAAAATATCAAAATTAACGTCAAAAAATAATCCAGGATGTGCTAAATGTCAAGCTTTCAACAACTAAGTAAAGGCATGTCCTTGAGGGACGCATCCTCACACACTGCCCACACCTACACCTGGTCTGCATGGGGAGTCTCAGGGTGACAAAGGAAAACTATGGGATGACCTAGGGCAGGGGAACAGGTCTGTCAAGAATCAGAAGCATAGAAAGGGGACAGAGTGACCAGAGGACAGAGTCTCCCAGAGAGAAAGGAACCTTGCTCATCTTCCTGGCTCGCCTCAGCAGACTCAGCAGTTCCCTTACAGCAAGTTGCACCCCTCGCATGCCCAAATAAGACCTTCGGGGTCTTGAGCTCTAGCCTCTTATAACTCACAAGTCTAATCTAAGCCTTTTCATCTCAGGCAGAGGACGGATAAGAACTTCAGACAGCTGTAGACAACCGTTGCTGCCTTGGAAAACCAGCCCCAGACTTGGTGACTGCTGACAGTGGCTAGTGGCTAAGAAGGAAAACATTCTTAACCTGCTGACAGCAGCTCCCTTTTAAGGCACGCTCTGAGGCAGCACTCACGCATCTCCGGAGCCTGGAGGGGAGTGCTGTTTGGTTTTCAGTGTGAGTTAAGGTTTGGGGGGGTCAGTTTGGCCTGGCTTCAGCTCTGGCTTTGCCATCTACCATGGGACTCGAGATCTGCAAAGATGACCTACACCAGCTCTGGCTCCTGGAGGCGGAGCGATGACTTAAATGTAGGCTGAGAAACAAACCACACTAGTATTGCTTCCTTAAAGATGCTGGCTAGGAAGGCAAGAGGGCCAAGAGTTCAAGTTCATCCTCCTCAGACTCGTATCAAGTTCAAGGTCAGCCTGGTCTTCAAGAAACCCCATCAAACCCCGTCTCAATAATCACTTTTTAATTAAATTTTAAAAACAAGCATTATGATAATGGTGCACACCTGTGGCCCAGCACTTGGAAGGGGGTGACAGAAGGACCCGAAATTCAAGGTCATCCTTAGCTACATAGCAAGTTCAAGGCCAGCTTGAGTCACAAGAAGCCCTTTGTCCAATGAATAAAAACAACAAAGAATGCTTGTCAGATTTGCCGGCTTTTCAAAAGAAAAAAAAATTGTCATATGAAACCTCGGTTTTTAAAATGGTGGCAATCAATTTCAAAATTATTAAGGCTTAACCCAGGAGAGACAAATAAGACAGGGATGTGTGCCATAGCCGTCTGCTGGTCAAGTGTGTGCCTGTTCCCACAGGATGTGTGCCGTAGCCGTCTGCTGGTCAAGTGTGTGCCTGTTCCCACAGGATGTGTGCCATAGCCGTCTGCTGGTCAAGTGTGTGCCTGTTCCCCACAGGTCACACCGGGCTCAGCAAGTCTGATGGCCCTCATCTTTTCCAGAAAGCCTGCAGCAGCAGCAGCAGCAGCAGCAGCATCCTTCTCCACAGGACAGCTTGGGCAGCGATGCTTCTTAGAAGGGTGATGGAGGCAGGGAGAGCCGAGGATCTGGAAGGCTCCACAGGAAGGAGGGACTGCAGAGAGGGATTCCTTAAAAGGATTTAGGAGGATTTTACTGGACGTGGTGAAGCACAGCGGGGGATAAAATCATAAATTCACCCCTGAGAACAGCCTGGGTCTGAGACTAGATGGGGGTGACAAGGAAGGAGGGAGTCTGCCCCTGCTGTCCTGGATCTTCTCTGCAAGTCATCCCCAGCACCAGATCCAGGTGCCTGGTGTCCTGACAGGCCCACTCCACCGGCATACTCCCTCTTCGTTCAGAGGTGGCCGTGAGGTCCCCTGATCCTAAACACAAAGGAGGTAGCTTGAGCCTCACAGTCCATCTAAGTATTTCTGGTGAGCTCTAAGGTCAGGCAGGGATGGGCTGGACCGAAGTCGCCAAAATCTCAGACCAGGGAACTTGCTAGAAGGGCCACAAGCAGAGTCCACTGGTTTTGAAGAAGTCTCCAGAAGAGTCCGACCACAGGGAGGCTTTGAGAATTACTCACATCCTGGTCCTGTGGTCCTCCATCGGGACAGCAGCTGACTTGCTGTGGTGACCAATTCTGCTGTCACAGGACAGTCCTGGGTCCTCCCACAATCCCTGAAGAAGCTACTGTTCAGTCCAGCGGTGTGGAAGCTGCCAGTCAGAAGGAAGACAGACAGCATAGTCATTGCTCTGGTGGAGCCTGAGGCTCAGAGAAAAGCAAGAAAGACGGAAGCATGGGTTTTTCTACTCAAGAAGGCAGGGGCCCGGTACAGCACCTCTCCTTAAAGACACTCCTTGCTGAACTCCTGGTACAGTCATGCTCTCAACACGGGACCCAGGACCACTGCCACCAGGGTCCATACAGCCAGGGAAACCCTATGCTGGCCTTCTTACAACCCTCCAGCATATTGCTTCCAGGTCTCTCTACAACCCAGAAATCTTCGCTTTATGCCTGAATAGGGTCTCTGCAAATCTTCTCTGCTCCTGCCCAGTGTTCTGGCCCCTCCTCGAGGGTCCCGTCTTTGTCCCATCTGTAGTCTTTCCTCCCTGGACCTTTCCCTATTCCTGCAATCCCCAGCCCTGTCTCTGCTGGTGTAGCCTCTGCAGAAGCTGGGGAGTTCTCGGGGCAGGTCCTTGGCTCACTCTCTGACTCTGCCATCTGTCTCCACCCACCCTCTGAGTGAACCCAAAGCTTACACCCCAGGGCCAAGCCTCACCCTCTGTAATGAAACCCCGCAAAGAATAGGAGCCCCACTCCTGAGCCTGGTCTTTGTGTCCCTCCTGTTTCCCTGCCAGAGGAGAAAGGGCAGTACTAATCAAGAGCCCCAGTCCAGCTCTGCAAGTGGCTCTCTCTCCTCTCAGACAGCTCTCCCACCTAACCCCAACACCTGGTGGAACTTCTACCAACTCAGAGACCTCCGGAGTTCACCCTGCCCTCCCCAGGCTACCGAGTACAGGACCCAGAGACTGCAGGACCGGGTCCCAGTGCCAGGGTCCACCTGGGACAGTGGGCAGCTAGAGCATAGGGTCACTATGGGGCACAAGGCACCCATTCTTTAGCTATGGTGACACTGCAAAGATGGTGCAGGCCCTGGGGTTGCAGGGGCAGGAAGGGCCCAAAGTTACCAGTGGAGAAGGCACGTGGTATGGCTGGTGTGGTCCCCTGGAAGGCGATGTTTAGGTGGAGTGCAGCATGGGGTTCTCGGGCTGCAAGGCATGAAGTACCCTCCAGACATGACGCAGCGCCCGCGGCAGTGCGGGGAGAGGTCCACGACCTAGTGTGCGCTTGGACCTTTGACGAGACAAGACAGAGCGCGTGGCATTCCCACAATAAAGACCCCCGTGCGGAATGAGACTCAAGTCCTGACAGTCACTGAGCTCAGGGTGAAAGGGAGGCACGAACGTCCCACGATCACCGTGAAAATGAGCGACTGGAGAGGTGACTGCGCCACGGGCCAGGAGCCTCGGGAGGAGGAGCGCGGGGACATAAAGGCCACCACGGGCAAGCAAAGGCCTGAGGGGCGCAGGAGAGGGGGGAGACCAGGATGAAGAGAGGGCGACGCTGTGTTCCACCGGGACCCAGCACCCAAGAGGGCTCCGGGCCCGACCAAAGAGCGTGGCATCTCCACGCCGGAGGGGTCCCGCGGTGGCTTCATCCCCCACATCCCGCCGCCCGCCCCTCTCTCCGCCCCGTGCGCAGTCCCCTCCCTTCGTCCCGCCTCCTGCCCCGCCACCTCCCTCAGCGGCTGCTTTGCCGCGTTGCCGGCGCACTCGCAACCCAGCGGACACCAGGAGGCAGAGGCGGGACAGCCTGGGGTCCGACCGTGCAGTCTAGCGGCCCCAGGGCTAAAGTTTGCCAGCAGCCCCGGGAGATCAAGCGGGCGCTACACGCCACCTGCTGCCCCCTCGCGCATCCTTACCCCGGCATTGCTGCACTGGGGGACCGAGCTGCGGCCGGGCCAGCTCCAAGGAGGGGACGCCGCGACGGAACTTAAGGTGGGAACTTCGCGGGCTGCTCCCTGGCGGGATCCTGTTCCTGCAAGCGGCACTCCGGGCTCTGCACGTGGCCGTGGCCCCGGTGCCTTCTGCGGATGCCTAGGATCCCGGGAGAGGGCGCCGGGCGGTGAGGGATGCGCCCACGCGACCGCGGTTTGGTCCAGCCCCGGATCCTCCCGAGGGGTCCCCGGGACGCAAAGTGCGCTCTCTGGCGGGGCACCGGAGAGGATTCTGACTTTGCATGCCGGGTTCTTGGGGTCCCCCGGGAGGAGTTCGGTTGCAGGGTCGTCTTTCACTTGCTGGTTCACTGTCTGTAGGCACGGGATGCAGCACCCCCACCAGTGGGCCTCATTAAGTCATTCATTAATTATGAACACAGCGAGGGTTTATGGACTGCCTACTTGGTCCGTCCTTGGCCCATGGCAAGGCCCTGGGGACAGTTGAATGGTCGTGGGCCTCAGCATCTAGTAGGGAAGTTAGGGGTCTCCTTAGCCTCAGGGTACCCGTGCCTGAGTGGCCCAGCTTTGCTTACAGTTTTTGGGTGTGAACGGAAAAGAGACAAATGCGTTCATTCCCTGAGTTGTACGAAAATTGGTTGGGCACCTACTGTGGGCAGCTCACTATACCAAGTTCTCGGTGTTCATTCATTTTTTTTTTTTTTTTAGCAAGCCTGTCTTGAACAATGACCAAGATGGAGACGGGACAAGATAGGGGCAGCCCTCCTAGGGTTTAGGTAGAGGTTGAGACTCAGGCCCTGCCTTGGAAGTTCACAGTCTGCCACGGTGGCCGGCAGCAGCCATGTGTATAGATGCACGGTTGATGCATAATGCATTCGTTCTTAATGGCGGAGAGGGGGTCCTGGAAAGGGAGAACTGGGCTTTCCAAAGCTTTTTTTTGGGGGGGGGGGGGGCGGTGATGAGGGCCAAGAAGGTTTATCTAATGTTAGGTGAACACAGTCTCCTAGTGATGGGGTTCATGAGCTAAGCACACATTTTCCGTTCAACACACATTTTCTTAACCACTTGCAATTCGGATGTAGTTAAAGGATGCCAGGCACCAGAGTTCCCCAAGTGGATGATAGGTGGGAGGCAAAGGCATATTCACCCCCTTCAGTGACACCTGAGCTAAGTGCAGAGAAAGGTGAGAGGTGGGGGCAGGGACTGGTCTGATTCGCTGGAGAAGGGAGGAAGTGTCTCTGTAAATCTGGGTTCCTATTCACTGGGGTCTGTTTGACACCCCCACCACACACACACACACACACACACACACACACACACACACACACACCTGTGACCACACTCTGAATCACTGTAGGGTGTCTCACCAGTAAATACACCTCCAGGTTAAGGGGTGCCCCTGGAGATTAAGGCAGTGGGGTGAGCACGTGGTGGGTGCTTCTACCTGTGGGTCTTTAAGCTTTTGTGGCTTCGCCAAGGCACCTGCTGAGTGGAGGGGGAGGGAAGTCAAGCCAGGCGTGGAGGCGTAGCCCCAGGGGATTGCTCTTACCAGCCCAGCTCTGAGCCAACTCATTCCAGTGGAAAAACGTCTGCCGTGGGACACACTCCAAACCCACAGAGGACCAGCACACCAAAAACAAGACACCCCGAGCCTTTGCCCAGAGATGGAGGACCCAGGTTGTGAGTGCCCTGCAGCCTGATGAGGTAGACCCGGGAACCACACTGAGTCCTCTGTACTGGGTAAGCTGCTTGACTCTGGCAAGGGGTGAGCCACCTGCCCCAGGGACAGAAAGCAGAGATGTCTCCTGAACACCAGAGGCTCACAGGGACTGCCCTTCTCCAAGAATCCACTCTGGGTTGGTTGCCTAAACTCAGAAAAGAGCCCCTTCCCCCCCCACACACACACCCGAAGAAATGGCGGATGATAATATGACCTAAATAGAATTAATAAAAAAAAAACAGAAGGGGATGAAGGAGGCTGTGGAAAGCCCTGTTCTGTTTACCTGGCAGACTGTTCTTAATGAACAGAGTCAGCATGTAAATCTGCCACAGGATCTGAACTATACCTAAAGTTACTCCCATCTCAGGCCTGCACCTGCCCAGCAGAGGACAGGCACAACATGCCCTCCCCACTACTGAGCCCTGCGAGCAGCTTCCTGTCTGGCACCTCCCCAGGTCCCATCACACCTCTGTTTTAGCCCATGTTTCCCGATTTCTAACCACAAAGAAACAAAGATAAAAGACGGCTAGGTCGGTAGGTAAGCCAGAGGACTTGAATTTGATCTCCAGAAGCAGAACCAAGAACAGCGGCAACAAAAATGGGCATAGGTTCCTGGGCTGAGGAGGCAGGGACCAATAACAGATGGTCTCCGAGACTCAGTTGTCTGCCAGCCCAGAGAGAGGCCCTGACTCAAAAACAGGTGGACAGTGATAGAAACAACACCCAAGATTGTCCCCTGGGCACACACGCATGCACGCGTGCACGCACGCGCATGCACACACACGAAGAGGCTAATGGAAAAGGTGCCCTAGCCCCAGTTCTATAAAGCTCTTGGGAGAAGACAGGTGTGCACGAGGAGCCATTTTGCCAGCAGCAGAGCCAAGTGGCTCAACAGTCTGCCCGCTTGACACTGGGGAAAGCAGCTTTGCCTTGTGCTACAGGTGAGGAATGAAGGAAGGAACCCTCCTCCCATCCTGTAATCCCCCAGGGACTTTGAACACCTCCCCCACCCCCAAGATGCAAAGCTGCGGTCTGTGGGGACAGGATGGATGGCAAGTGTCAAAGACACTCAGCATTGCTGAGGTGAGGGGGGCAGCATGCAAGGCCCAGGGCAGGCTAATAGTTGGATCTATTATAATTAATGGTTTAATTGGGGGTGAAGGCAGCATGACCAGCCCCTGAGTCAGCCCAGCCAAGAGCCCTAATCCTGACAGATGAGGCTCACGGGAGAGCCAGGGAAGAGATGGAACAGCGCCTCAAGTCCCTACTCACAGTCCAGAAGCCAAAACCAAGGCACCAGGAGCTTAAGAAACAAATATCCTAACTTCTAGAAGTTTGCCCAGGGGTCTGTGTTAGGCCCCTGCTTTCATATGTTAACGCTGAACAGCAAAGAGTTTTGGGAAGGTAAGAAGTCCAAAACGTGTCTTCTAGGGAGAATACACTCCCCTGTACCTTCTTTAGCTCCTGGAGGCCTCCTACATTCCTCGCTAATGACCGAGCCTCACTGTAACCCCTGTAGTCATGGTCACATCTCTGGAGGCCACAGTGGTGACCCAGAACTCAATAAAAACAGAGACTCTGTTGGTTTTCTGCCCTGATCCAGTGTAAATATTAAGATGATTGCCGTTCTCAGCCTCCAGTCACCTGCTTCTCCCTATCCCCCAGACCCCTCCACAGCTTGCCCTGCAGAAACAGAGTTGAGGTCCAGTCCCTGGCCTCCGGCAACTGGTGAAAATAATATTCACCCTGGTCCCCGAAAGCACAGTAGGATGCAGGGATCCAAGGTGCCTGGGCTGCAGCCCCTCCGACCATTGCTATTCCTCACTGCCAGTCATGTGTGCTTATTTCACTGAGCCTCAGTTCCCCCATCTTGCCTTTTAGGAAAGAATGCAAGTGCCTGAAGTTAGGGCCCCAGCATCACACCTTGGTTCCTAGTGAGTGTGCCATGGAGGGAAGTCTAGTGTGTTACCGTTTGGGGACAGGTGAGGTTTAGCACTCTGCACCTACCTTAAAAAAAAAAACTGCCAAGAGTTCCTCAGAAGGGGTGAGCTTTAAAAGCAGAGGACAGACCAGCAGCTTCTGGAATGGCCCCAGGAGGGATCTCAGGGATCAGAATCAACACACGGTAGTTTATGGACCCCTTTTGTGAGAGGACCGTAGGATGGGAGAACGGGTGAAGCCTACAGAAACCTCCGCTCACCAGCCCTCAGATCCACTCTGCATGGCGCTATTGCTCTCGTTTTAAGAGGCAGGAGGTGGCTCAGGCTTGAGTGCCGAGTCCTTCACAGAGTTGTGGCCATCGGTAGTCATTTTGTCCACTGCCACTACTTCCTCCCCAGATCCAGGCCCCACCCCTTGAGCTCACACCCTAAGCCCATGGTGGGCCCAGTGCTACTTAGAAGCCTCCCTCTGAATTAATGTTTATCTTTGGAAACGCTTGCTGGGCCTCTGTCACCTCACCACTCCCAGAGTGCTATTTTTCTTCCAAGAGGAAGGACAAGAAACAGCCTAGGGCTTGCCGTGGGTCTTTGGACTCCTAGAGGCAGGTTGGAGGCATATTGAAGGGAAGTGACTGACTGAGAGACAGAAAGGGGAGGGGCAGTGAAGGGAACTGAGCAGTTAGTTGGGCAGGAAGCTTATTGCAGCCCTGCATGTATGGAGCCCTCCCTCCCACTTCTCTTTGGGATTTTAACATGAATGGCTGTTACTGAGGCAGCCAGACAGGCTGGTTCCAGGGCTGAGGGAATCTCGGAGGAACACCATGTTCCGCTGTCCCTGCGGAGCACCCAAGACCATTCCTGAGCTGGGAGCTTTATATGGCTTGTGCTTTTTGGCTGTTGTGGGACCCACCTGCTCACCTCCAAGCATGCTTCCTCCTTGACTAGTGCAGGGCCGTCTTGTATTCCCTATTTCAACTCCCTTCCAGTCCCCAGGCTCGGTCTCCTTCCCTCTCTCCCTCCAGGCACCACCATGTAACACACAGATCCTTCTGTGTTTGAGTCCTAGTCGAGGTAATGTGTTCATGCACATAAATAGCCCGATGCTGCAAACTTCTGCTGTTTTTCTCATGCTCGGCTTACGTTTTAAAGACCCAGCTGTGCCTCAGATCCTACCCAGACCACAGTCATTGCCTCTTCTGTCCTCCTCCACCAAGACTCACCAAACCGGTCCCTTCCGGATGGACCCTGGAAACTTCCCACGGCCACAAGTAAAGGGGGTAACATTCTTGTGTCTTGTTCATCCCTGAGGTCAGGTTTCCATGAAGCAGACCCCCCAAGTGAAGATTCAAAGGTGGATAACTTGTTATGTCAGTGTCTCCCGTCACCTCTGTGGTCCCAGAACTGGGAACCGGACGGACGCCGGAGCAGGGTTCTCCAGCCACAGGGGAGCAGCATTCCTTAGTGTCCCTAGCAGTGCAGGATGGCCTCCCTCCCCTGAAGGCTGGCCAGACGCCACTCCCTCCAGCCCTGGGCTGTGAAGTCAGATGGTGCCGAGTTCAGATCCTGGCAGGTTGGTTCAGGGGAGACGCACTTGGCTGGTGGGCGAAGGTGGGTAACAGACACTTCTCAGAGCTAAGGCTGA